ATTCAAAATTATTTGCTGCAAGTAGGGGTTGAAAAGTGGGCACGTGCTCACTTTGAGAGGAAGAGATATGATGTCATGACGACTAATATCTCTGAGTCGTTGAATAATGTCTTAGTGAATGCTAGGGAGTATCCTATTGAAGCTTTAATTGAGCATTTCAAATCCTTCTTGCAAAGATGGTTTTATGAGGGTCGAAATAAGGCGGATCAGACTTTTACATACTTGAGTAAACATGCAACTAAATGCCTTCGTGATAGGGAAAAGATTGCACGTTGCTTATCTGTAAGTTGCTTTTCTTTCAATTATTTACTTTTTTTTGTTTCATTATTTTGGTTATGTTTTTGATGTGATCTTTTTTGTGATTCTTTTGGTTCTTTTTTTTTTTGAAGTTATTCTATTGTTTTTTGAATGCTCTGTTTTCTTTTCTTTTTGTCTTGTTTTCAGGTTCAACCCATTGATATCAATAAGTATTATGTTGTTGATGGTTTAATTGGTGAGATGGTTGACTTGATGGCAAGAACATGTAGTTGTCTTGTTTGGCAAGCTGATGAATTTCCATGTCCACGCGCTATTACATCGATTTGGAAAAGAAATCTTGATCCAGCACATTTTACTTCATACTATTACACCAACAATGCATTCAAAGCAACATATGATGCTGCAATCTATCCTATTACTAATAGATCAAAGTGGCAAATTTCAGAGGGCAGTGAGGTGGAGGTTGTTCTTCCTCCTGAGTTTAAACGTGGTGCTGGGAGGCCAAAGAAGCAAAGAATTCTTTCTAGTGGAGAACGAGAGAAGCAATCTGTGAAGTGTAGTCGATGTAAGCGAGTTGGCCACAATAGGAGGACTTGTTCAAACCCCACATTTGTTGATATGAACTGATTATCATGGTCTAAGTTGATTTTTTGTCTTTATGTTATAAGTTGGAATTGAATGATTTGAAGGAAAAATATTCAAAATTTTCTAATAATAAAAGAAATCATTGCATTTAATAGTTAAAAAGAAAAACTGTGATTTATGGATTATTGTCTAATTTGATAGGTTTTTGTGCATAACTTGTTAAGTTATGGACCATAACTTGTGCTGTTATGGAGCTTTACTTGACAGGTTATGGTCCATAATTTACAGATTTTATTTGGTTATATTTTAAAAACCGTATCCCAGATTTTTTTTATTCAGTTTTTGTGCATAACTTGTCAAGTTATGGACCATAAGTTGACAGGTGATGGTCCACAATTTACAGATTTTTTATCCGGTTATATTTTAAAACCGTATTTCAGATTTTTTTACTCGGTTTTTGTGCATAACTTGTAAAGTTATGGACCATAACTTGACAGTTATGGTCCATAATTTACAGATTTTTTATTCAGTTATATTTTAAAAACCGTATCTCAGATTTTTTTACTCAGTTTTTGTGCATAACTTGTAAAGTTATGGACCATAACTTGACAGGTTATGGTCCATAATTTACAGATTTTTTATTCGGTTATATTTTAAAAACCGTATCTCAGATTTTTTTACTTGGTTTTTGTGCATAACTTGTGCTCTCTGTTTTCTCTCGCTAAGATAGTTTTTTCTTTCCAAGATTTCTTTCTTTCCACCGGCGACCTCTTGCGATTTTTTAGGTTTTTGTTTCCGCTCTTCTTCGGCGATCTGTCTTTCTTCCCTCCGTCCGTCTATTGTGATTTTTTTCTCCTCGCTCTGCAACTCTCTCTATCATCGCTGACAGTGTGCATTCCCTGACAGTATTTTTTTTTGTATGAATTTTTTTTTCGCGTTCCTTTGGTTTTTTTTCTTTCTCTGATATTGTGATTCTATATATTATTGTTTAAGATATGGCGAAAACACAAAGCAAGAGGAAGGACAATGTTTCTGTTTCTACTCCGAGTAAACGCTTGAAGGTTGTGAACAAGAAAATTGGTATGGAGAAAAAAAGTTCCGAAGAAGTTGCTCATGCTTCTCCCACTCGTAACACTTTAGAGGTATTTTGATTAATTTTTTCAACTTCGTTTATAGATTTTCGAATTTAGGATATGGAATTTGTTTTTTTTTTGTGTGTTTTGATCGTGTATTTTTAGGTTTATCCTCATATTGTTTTTCTTCGTTTTTTTTTTTTTTTCATTTTTACAGTCTTGGAAGTATCGTATTAATCCTGACAAGAGATTTCGAGGCCAGGTTAATATACCATCCTCTTTTGCTGTTATAGAGGAATTAAACAAAAAGTTTTCTGAAAGTCAGAAAGATTTGTTCAGAAGAACAATTTTTGGTCGGTTTTTGGATTTGGTAAAGTACATTACCAGTGTCAGCTGATACACGAGTTACTGTTTCATGTGGTTCATAATCCAAATACAAATGAGCTATGGTTCAAGTTTTGTGATTCTTTTACTAAGTTTTCTGTTGAGGAGTTTACATTAATTTCTGGTTTAAAGTGCTCAGGACATGTAAACTTATCAAGTTATGTAAATTCATGTAATTTTTCTAGACGTAACAAATATTTCAAGGATCATTGTATAGGGCTTGTAAAGAGGGCTACTATTAAGAACTGTTTTGAGTCTATTCATTTTGCTAGTGATGATGAAGCTGTCAAAATGGGTTTGTTATATTTTGTGTCACTTTTTCTGTTAGCTAAGCCCAAGGACGTGGGGGTTGATGATGATTTGATTAGAATTGTTGATAGCCCTAACTTTAACGATTTTCCTTGGGGTAGATTGTCTTTTAATTTACTTTTTGCAAGTCTAAAATCTGGTATTGAGACTTTGTACAAGCACGATGATAAGGTTCTATTTCAAAATGAGAAGAGACGCGTAGATGGATATAAGATCAACGGTTTGGCCTTTGCTTTTCAAGTTTGGACTTATAAATGTCTACCACACCTTGGTGGTATTTGTGCACTGAAAAAGTTAATTGATGAGCCTATTCCCCAAATTTTCAAATGGTCAACGGATGAAAATTATTTGAAGAAGCCATTTGATGTGTTGAACAGCAAAATTGGTCAGGTTAGACTTCTGTCTTGGTAGTTGTTTTATAGTAAATTTTCATGTTTTAATGTTTTTATTAATATATGTTGCTTATTTTTTGTTTTAATGTTTCTATTTTTTATTTTCAGTTCTCTTGTTTTTCAAAGGAACCAATTGAATCAGAGCGTCTCTATAATTATCTTGACGGTTTTTTTTCAGAAGTCGGCAAAGGATGCTCCGGCTTCTAGTAGCTGTGATTTGAAGGAGGATGACAAAGATTTTAAAACTGTCCCTCCTCCATTTATCCCTCCTCCAAAAAATCAGGTTTGTTTATTTTTGTTTTTGTTCATTTTTCAATTTACAATTGGAACTGTAAGGTTGTTTTCTGAAAATCAAGTTATGTGAAAATCAGGTTTTGTTTTGACATGTTATCCTCCATAACGTGTTAGGTTATGGTCCATTAACTTGTCTGGTTATGAACCATAACTTGACAAGTTATTGTCCTAATTAAGAGTTTTTATCCATAATTCACGGTTATTGTCCATAACTTGTCTGGTTATGAACCATAACTTGACAAGTTATTGTCCATAATTCAGAGTTTTTTGTCCATAATTCACGGTTATTATCCATAACTTGTCTGGTTATGAACCATAACTTGACGAGTTATTGTCCATAAATCAGAGTTTTTGTCCATAAATTGACAGGTTTTTCACATAACTTGATTGGTTATGTTCCATAGCTTGATGTGTTGTGTTTGTCCCTATGATTTGACTTTTTTCGTTTTGTTATCTTTTGCATTTTTTAGGGTGCTTTTGATAATTTTGAAGTTTTTGCGCGCATTGCTTCCTTGGAGGCCAAAACTGATAGTTTGGTTGTTGAAGTTTCTTCCCTTTGAAGATATTTCAAAGAACAAATTTTTTCTGTGGTTCAGTTGATTGGTGAAAAGTTTGACAATGCGTTTTCTTCTAAGAAGAACAAGCAAACGGAGGAAGAACAAGCATTTGAAGAAAAAAAGGAAGAAGAAGAAGTTGAAGAAATAAAGGAAGAAGTAATTGAATAAGCAGTTGCAGAGAAAGAAGATGACAAAGTGGATGTTTCTTCTGAAAAAATTGAAGATACAATTGCTTCAGTTTTGATGGATCTTGTTCATGAAGCTGCCCAGGAAGGCGATAAATGTTCTGATCAAAGGATTATTTTGTATGATGAGGTAGCAACGTCACAAGAACCTATTAAATGTATAGATGAACGATTTTTATGTTTTTGTCCATTCTCTGAAATTGTTGACAGTGATGCATCAGAGGAGGACAAAGAAAGATTCGTATCATGGTATAAGAGTAATATGATCTCAAGAAAAGCGTGGGGACCGGCCAGCGATGCATATATGATAAAGCCTCCTTTTGATTTTAAAGTTGACACCGTTGATTCAAAACATTGGTTTCAAACTTTATGGACATCAAAGTGTTGGCTAACTAACTCGGTAAGATTCTTCCCTTTTTTTGTTTAATTTTACGCATGATTTTTTTTTATTTTGTAACAAATCTGATAATTTTTTTTTTGTTTTGATAGCATGTTGATGTAGCCACATATTATTTGCGGAAAAAGATGGTGTGTTACAAAAACAAGCCATACATTAGGTGTTTAGTTTTGGACTCACATTTTTTCATGAGAATTAGTGGCTTATGGTGCTCTAAAAACCAAAAGGATTTTGATTGGTCTCATTTTGATTTCTCTTCACATAGTGCTCTTCAAGATTATGTGTTGGGAGATTATTTATTTTGTAGCTTGCCTTTTTGTGAGGTGGACATTCTTCTTGTACCTATTTTTCTTGAGCGTAGGCAGCATTGGATTTTAGGTTATGTAGAGTTCAAAGATCATTGTATTAGGTTATATGATTCTCTTTTTTCAAAGAGGATAGAGAAGCAAGTCCGTGCTTCTGTGCAATCTTTGGCAGTCATTCTCCCCCACTTGCTGGAATCTGTTGGCTACTTTGAGTCTCATGCGAAAAAGTATTTCACAAGTCAGTTTGATCATCTTGAACCTTTTGAGATCATATTTGACGATTGTCCAAGACAAGAGAACGGGTTAGTTTTTTTTTCTTCTCTTTAAATGTTTTGTCATTTTCCCTTTACTTCATTCATTTTTACATTTATATTTGTTGTTTCTAATTGTTAGATTTTTGGTGGTTGTTTTTTGTAGTGGTGATTGTGGAATTTTTATGCTCAAGATGGCTGAGATATTAATAGAAGCCGGATCTGATGATTGTTTGAGAGAAGAAGGGGCTGGAACATTGTTCCGCAAGAAGATGGCAATTGAGTTGTTCAAGCATGGCTTGCGGAAGCAGCAATTGGGATATGAAAGTGATGATAATAGGGCTCCAAATGCCCCAAAAATGAATTTTATGATGCCAACAGATGCCATTGAGTGCGACTTGGATGATTATATGGATTAACTTGTTGGTTTTCAGATTCGTGTTTTATTTCTACTTGTGGTACATATTATATTAGTTTTTAACTTGTTGATGATTATATGGATTAACTTGTTGGTTTTCAGATTCGTGTTTTATTTCTAGTTGTGGTACATATTATATTGGTTTTTAATTTTAATTAGTAAACAAGTTTCAAGTTATTTTGCATATTTTTACATGTAATTCTCGACCATAACTTGTCTGGTTAAGACAAGTTATTGACCTAATTCATAGTTTTTGTCCACAACTTGTACGGTTATACACCATAAGTTGACTGTTTATGATACATTATTGAAATTTTTTTCATAACTCGTCCGGATATGTATCATAATTTGACGGGTTATGGTGCAAATTTGACATTTTTTAACATAACTTATCCAGTTATGCAGTATAACTTGTCTGGTTATGCAGCATAACTTGTCTGGTTATGCAGCATAACTTGTCCACAGCTTAGCATAACT